TCCCACCAATTAAGCGAAATAGCCTCAATTTTAAATTGACTTGCCCCTGTAACCTTAATGTTTTCACAAAGCTTTGTCTCTTTCAAGCCTTTAATTTTACATTATTCAAAAGCTGCTACAGTTTCATGTATAATTTCATTAAAATTATTTACATATATTAAAAATTTGTAATGGTACTTTTTTTTTTTTTTTTTTGTTTTGTTTTGTTTTGTTTTGTGTGTGTGTGTGTGTGTATGTGTTATTGTTGATGTTGCTGCTATTTTTATGTTCTGTATTCTCTTTCTGTTCTGTGCTTTTCTGACCAGATTCTAGTCCCAATTACAGAAAGTACCAATTTATTTACCTGGTAACAAAGAAAGCCTTGCAGGCTATTGATATAAATTGCTAATAAATATATGTATATCTCATGAGAACATGGATATATTTGTTCCAGATGTATATATGTGTATATTTAAGAGCAGTTTGTATCTAGTTACATTAAAATATCATAACTAAATTTAAATTAAAATTTATACTGTTAATTTTGTGTAGACATCAATTTTCAATCTATTTATAAATTTGCCTTCAGGTAACACATTACCTCAAATCTAAGCTGCACTCTTCATTTAAATTTTTAAGATGCAAAAATTAGGATACTGTTTAAAATATAAAGTGAATATTTTAAAATCTTATTTCCCAAGTAGCTTATTGTATTTATATTAGTAATTTTATTTTTAAAAAATTAATTTTGTTCCTTTATTTTTCAGTTACCTGTTATAAAAGCTTTTCTTTTCTCCCAAATTTAAAATCCTATTGGACTTAAATTCGAAAGTTGTTAGTATTTTTTTTTTTTTTTTTTTTTTTTTTTAATTAAAAGTCTGTTACAGCTTAAATTTGAAGGAAAGTAATTTTAATAATAATCTGCTAATCATCAGAAATAATGAAATTAAAGGTTAGCACAGTACAAAATCCAAGATCTGGAATCGTCGAAATTTCAGCAGTACCAGATTTTGGATATTTCCAGTTTTTAGATCATCAATCTGAAAATAGTAAAATGACATATAGAAATGCTATATTTAATGAAAAATATAAATAATATCCTTTATTAATATTTCTTTAAGAAAGAAGTATTCTGCAAAAAGAAAATTTTTTTTCTTAATCACCACTACTTGAAATTAAAATGTGATTCAAAATAAAAATGGCGATATTTTCTGGATTTTAAACTATACTACATCTGTTGATTGATGAAATCTAGTTATTAATTATACCAAGCATTTCTAAAAATATCCGCAGGCATCTCCTCTCAGGATCTTGCATTGCCACACGTATCAGATTTTATAATAAAATATTATTTGATTTCTTGAATGATCTTAATGCTGCATTGGTTTTTAAAAAGCTACTTCATCACTGCAATCATTTCATTTCACATAAAATACCTATATCCATTGGCTGATTGACAGATGTACAGTGTCATGGAAAGAGTAAAATTTATTGATTAAAGAGTCATATTTATTGATTAGATTAATAATTAGATTTATTGAATCTGGTGCAAAGACTGTGAAGTTGGACTTTGCCTTGAACCCTGTTTTGAACTCTATCATACTAAACTGCATTTATAAGGTATTTTCCCCTCAGTGCTTTATAATTTCTTAAATTGTATACATTTTACTTTTTTATAGTATGTAATAAATAGAAATTAACTGTAATTTGACTGAAATTTATTTTTAAAAAAAAGTTTTTTTTTTTTTTTTGTTTGTTTGTTTTTGTTTTTGTTTTGTTTTGTTTTTGTGATAACATCTGAAATTGGTTTTTCTGGCAACTTAGTTTCTCATGATAAAAATCTATATAAAAAATATTTTCTAGAAAGAAAAAGTGCATTTTTCAATTCTCCAATATATATAGATTTAAAATTTGGAAAAAAAAAAAAAATACACAATTTTGGAAGCGATTTTGGTCCACAAATTGAGCGGTCAGAGGGTTAAGTGGGGTAGAAAAAATGCTAATCCCATCACACATGTCTGAAAGTGCAGTCCTGGCTAACATCAATCAATGTATTGTCATTAGCCAGGATGAGATTCCCTAACCAGGAAGTATTTGAAAATGACATGGGAATCTTAGTTAGCCAGAATCGCTTAGAGAATTTGCTTTTTCTTGAGACATTCTCCGTTTCTAGACATAAGAGGTTTTTTTTTATTAATATTATTATTAATGATTTGGATTTTAGACTTTGTACTGTAGTAAATTAATTACTTTACGAATAGATTATTTTTAAAAATCGCATCTTTTCTTCATGTTCTGTATTCTAAAGAATTTTATGAAAATATTATTATATAACAGTATGATAATTATAATTCCAGCAATATAGCTATAAGTTCATTTTTAGGTGATAAATGCATAACTTTTTGTTAAAAATTATTTATGCTGTATTTAATTGTTTTTGTAGCATCTCATTTGCAAAACTGAATGTTGTTATTATGTCGGTTATTGACTAATCAAATTTGGCTTCATGCTATGTGAAGTATTTGAAATTTATAGTGGTACTCGAAGGGAGCCAAATGTTATGACAATTCTTCTTGCTTGCTCAGAATGCCTTTTGATGCCAGTGAGGAGGCTGTTGATAGAATTTGAATATTATTTTGGTGCAGAAAATTGTATATGTAAATATTTTCATTTTAGAGTGTAGTTTAAGGATTGTGTATGTCATACATAACTTCATTAAGAATAAAAGGATTATAAAGACTCCATTTTTGAATGAGATTAGTAATTCATCATACTGTTCTGATATATTAGTGAATCAGTTTTCGATTAAATGTTATGCTTTGGAAAAATTTTTATGAAAAAATAGGATTGGTGACTAAAAACTCACCTTTCCATTGTTTTGAGTTAAAATTTATATTGCATAAATATCTCACCAGTTGATTAACAACTGCAAAAATCAGTAAATGTATTGTAAATCTAAGCAAAATAATTTGTATAAGCAAAAAACATTTTGGTCTTATATTTGGGAAGTTATGAGAGTTTGCTGATAAAATATAAATATCTACTTTAATGACATATTAGCCACATATTAAATAAATTATATTTAAAAAATTTTTATGCACAAAAATTAAATGCACTTTTTACTGATAAAATATAAGTATTTTTTAATAATAAATTTTACTTATCATATTTCCTTGCATACTCCCCCCCCTAGCTTTTAAGCACAAGGTTTTAAAAGTATTCACATTTTGTTTTTCCTTCCTTTGTTGTACATAATTTTCCATCTGAGGGGCTAGTTTGTTGGTAAACTATATTCCTTTGATTATTTTAATTTTTATTCAGTGTATTCAATTTGTATTTCCATTTTTTTATTAACAACCATGCATTTTGTTTTCTCTTGTGTCTATTATTTGAAATATATTTTGTGAAAATTCTTCATTAAAGTTACTAGATGAGATTTCACCTCATCACTTCACCTGTTATTTATGTTTCAGCTCATTGTAGTCTTATCTGCTGTTGATGGTTTCGATCTTTAAAAATCTAGGTCATTTGTTTGCCTCACCCCTTTGTTTCTCCAGTGTCTGTCTTGAGAACTGCAGTCAAGGCTTATTCATGTAGGGTGCCCCTGGGTGTCTTATCTCTGTTACCACCAGATACTGGCACAATATAAGATATTGTGTTATTAATGCTCTTATATATTCTTACTGGAATGTAGGTGTCTATGAAAGAAATAATATTGTGATAATTACCTGTAATTTATCCATGGCTCCTTTTCATTTGTTATGTTCTTACTCTAACTGTATTCTTCAGAAATTAAATTACTCATATAATTTTCCTCTTATCATTTTCAGATGATAAAATCAGTCAAAAAAGGTAAAAATGTGCAAGGAACTGCAGTATACCTAATTAAATCTTTTTTAGATGATCTAATATGCTGATATATTGCTCTTTTCCATTATGTATATAACCAGCTAAGTATAGCAAATTTCATATCTATGAAGTTATTTGTTAGATTTGAGATAATTTCAGAGAATAATTCTGTGTTAGTTTGCTTATTCCTCCCTCTTGTACATTTTCTGTCTGGATTTCTCAGCATATTATTTTGAAATTTCTCTTTTATAACAGCAAAAGATATGAATTTGTAATTGGTAGCAAAATTTAATGTATAAGTGAAAACATCGTTACTGAAAGCAATAAATGTAACTGGACGCTTATAGGAAAGAATGTGAAATTAAATTAACTTGGTTATTTAAAATAAATATAAATCCCTACAAAGCTTATTTTTCTTCCTTTTACCTTTTTGCTCCCAAAGTAGTCAAGAGATTAAAGTTTTTCCTTGCACCTGTTACCTTGGAGTCCTGAACTTCAATATTTTGTCAAGTGTGGTTTGCAATGAAGCCTAAAATAATTTCTATAAAATCTGCTTTTTATGGAAATATTTGGATTCTTACATATATTATTTTTTTATAATATAAAGGAAAAATCCTAATACTCACAATGAAATAAAAATTAAAAATAACTTAATGTACAGTATAATCAGAATGATTGTATTTTCATATTTAAATTATTCCTGTACAGTAATGAAGTAAAAACTTAAAAAATCATTTCTTTTTATATCAGCCTTATTTACATTATTATTTACTTATTTCTTATTTACATACAAAACCTGAAACTGCTTGAATTCTGAATACACATGGTTAACATGAGTTTCATATTTATAGAATAAGATAGTAAATAATATTCATAATAAAAAGCTGACACTGAAGAGATTCAATTGAATAAAGTTTTGAAGCATTTTGACATGTTTTATGCATGCTTTTTTTTTTCCAGCATATCAAATATGATACAGTGGACTGCCAGTGACACTTTGTTCCTGTATCTCATTTGATGTAGTGGACCCACAGAGGAAGCTGGGATGTATCATATTTGATATGCTGGGAGCAAAAAGGTTAAATTTCCATCTAAAAGAGTTAATTCCACTTTTTTTTTTTTTTTCCAAGTTAATTGGTGACAAAATATTTATTTCCACTTTTTTTTATCAGATTTACAGAGAAAATGAGTGAAGGTGCCTCATGTGATGATTATAGTGAAATTTTGGAGAAAAGTCGTTCACAGTGTCCAGTCACAAAAGTATATATCAGTATTTACTTTCATTACTTTGTTTAAATCCAGATTTTTTTAAATGTGTGTGTATGTATATATATGTAATATATTCAAACTCAGAAGCAATGACCAGGAGCAGGAATTTGGATGGCATAGAAATGCTGATCCATATCGACTAGGAAATTGGAGGGGAATGCCGATTAAATCTTCAGTTTTATTTTCAGCAACATGTTGCAGTTACACACAAGTCTAAAGTGAGCTAGGCCAGAGCGTAGAAAGCAAGCGCGTAATGTTCAGGATGAAATCTTAAGTCAAACTGAGTGAGTTTGGTTCTCAATACATTCTGATTGGACAGTTAATATTGCTCTAAAATTACTATTGGCTGGTTAAGTTTTAATTCCATTTACATCATCATAAGTACGTAAGAATCATATGGCATAGAATAGTCTTGAAATGACACTGTGCAGAGAGAGGTTACTATTTTTAGAATAGAGAATGGAAGTTTACATTGCTAATTTAATCTTTTACATATTCTTTATTTTTCTTACATATATAAACACACACACATATATATATATACACACACACACACATATATATATATATATACACACACACATATATATATATACACACACACATACACACACACATATATATATGTGTGTGTGTGTGTATGTGTAATGAAAATTTTGGTCTGATGTAGGTTGATGTTATAGTACGAAAAGATGGAGACACAATCATGGCCGATTGATATGGTTCATTATTTTTGACATGACTTTATTAAAGTAGACATATGTAGCTAAACTGGGCTGAGTGATTAAACAGGGAACTACCTGTTTTTTAATTACAAAACTTTTTGTGCTTTTAATGCAATGTAATTGAAGAGAAGAAGGGAGTAGTGTTGTGAGTATACAATAGAAACTCGATTATCCAAGGTAACTGAGCCATCACTACGTACTGTTAAAGAAAACTAGGTTAGTAGAGACTAAATTTTAAATCATACCAGTTTTACTTTCAATGAAGTTTTCCGGAGTTTATTTAAAATTTTAAACATAAAGGCAAAAACTATTAACACCATTAGCAAGAACTGTTATTAACACTTTAATAAATTCTTTTATAAAATTTGTTTTCTTCAATTAAACAAGTAATCCATATAAGATTTCATGACATCAAAATTTATGCAAGTTAGAAAATTTCAACAGATTTCTTATATACATATTTATGAGATAATTTTTTGAAAAAAAATTTTGTGATATTTTTTCGTGATTACCTTATATTTCTATCAGCCATCATTCAGTTATGCAATGTTTTGAAAAAGATCCAAAGGATAGAAGAAGCACTGAGCCATTATTCTAAATACAGCACATGCTTTCCTAAAGGGTGCAGGATGGCTATATTTTTATTCTGCCTATTTTCATTTCTTTGTCATCTTCAGCAACATTCTCATCATTGCAGTTTTTATTGTTTTCTGGATTTATGATATGAATGATTTCTTCATCACTAAAAACATGAAAATCTAAACACAGTTTTCTAATATTATATACTCCAAAACTCTTCAGCAGTGCCTTTAAATCCTTTTATGCTTTGAATCATGTTTACAATATTATTATCAGTTGTCTGATTTTTAATGTTGTTTTCATGTTTAACACATGTAAACCGCATCTTTTATTATATTACTCAATAGAAAAATCGTTTAATTATCTATAACTGATACAAAAAGGCTGAAAGATCAATCACTGATAAGAAAATTCATGAATGTTATGGATTTTTATTGCACTTTTTCTAATAGTACTACATTTTAAATCTGATTTCTTTAATTTGTTTGCCACCTTGGTTAACTGAAACCTCAGTTGATAAATGCTCGGTTAAGTTACTGCAGCCTGCAAATAAGCAAGTTCAAAGTACCAATGAATGCTGGTAGTTTATCTTAATCATGTTTGATGTTTTGGATTTAAACAAGTTAGCTGCATAGGCATTTTTTTTTTTTTTTTTTTTTTTTTTTTTTATGTGTAATATGAATACAGACCAATTTTTTCTCAAAAATCTTCCATAAAAGTATTTTCTGTAAGACTTACACTTAAGTGCTTTACCATTATAACTGACAGTAAAATAAAACTATTGTGCATACAAAATACATTGCTGTTCAGTGAAATTGCAATACTAGTAAAAAGTAAAGGATTTTTGAAGAAGTGGCCTGTGAGAAGCTATATTTGGAGCACAGAGAATAAATTTTGTTATTGGAAATGTATTTCTCATTTGGGCCTGTCTACCCCTTGCCTCAGGCAACAAAAACAGCACTCCAGAATGAACTGATCTCAAGCCTGAAATTAGAAGCAAGCTCCATTTTACTTCCATGGGTATCTACATGCAATAGAACCACTGTAAAAACATCCTGTGATATTCATTGATAGATTTTAATTTTAGACATTGTTCACAGTAATATAATTACCATGTTTCCAACCATTTAGCTAGATGCTGAATTGAGCTATGGCTGTTACTCAGAATCAAAATATCTTCGCCAAGATTATTAAGTGATGCAATAATTTAAAGTTTTATCAGTCTGTATCAACTGATCTTCAAACCTAGCAGTAATTCGGAATTTTTAAATTAATTTTAATAACATTACTCTCCTTGATAAAAATTCTGCAACCCAGAATAGCGCTGTTGCCCTACTGTATTAACAAATTTTGTATAAATAACTTCTAGGAGCAATTGTCTGAGTTACCTTGAGTAATGAGGGCCTTTACTGATAAGTAGGCCGAGTTTAGAGTTGAAAGTACGTGGTCAAATAAGGATCAAGACAGCAAACTGGAAAAGCGTGTTCCATTTTATTTTGCTGCAAACCCTCATTCTCAGCATGATTAAGTGGGCTGTATCTCTTGGGGCAGCAGCTGTTGATCCAGTTTTGAATTAATTTAGAAATTCTGTGCTAATCTCCCACACTTTTAATCTTTATTAAGTAGTAGATGATGTAGAGATACTTACATCTGAGCTTAAGAGATTGAAAATCAGCCTTGTACAAGATGATGTTACTTGGGCTGCTACTGGGCTGTTTCAAAAATGATTTCATTAACTTATCTAAAGTGATTAGTTGTAGTTTTAACTAGTCAACTTCATTTGAAAGTGTATTGTCATTATATATTTTGACAAAATAACATTTCAAGGCTTACTTGTAAAATATTTTGTTTGATTCTGCGAGATTGTGTATGTGTGTGTCTTATCAGAATGGAAAATCAAAAGCAGCATTTTCTATTACTGAAAAGGTAAGAATGGGGGTGGGAGATATGACTTGCATAGAAAAGATATGTTGACAAAATGCCACTGCCAAAGCTGGATCACAAAATTCATTCTAGCACTTTTGATATTGAAATTGCACCACATTCTAAAATTTCATTTGTAACTTATGAAGACAAAATGAAAGTATTATGAAACAAACCACCAAATAATAACACAAGAAAGAGATTGCGTTTGTTGAATTCAACCATTTATAATCACATAAAACGATTTGGTTTGTTTCAGAGCTTGGTATGTGGGTTCCACTTTTTTTTTAAAAACAAAAATGCAGAGATTTTCCCCATTGTATTGATATCTGCAATTTGCTTCTCAAATGATCCATTTTTCAAGTTGAATTATTACATAATGTTGAATGCAAACAATCATTGAGAGAAGAGATGAGCAGCTCTTTGAAAGCCAATATTCATTTTTTAAAAATTGTGCTGCTGTCTATTTGATAGGATTTTAAGGGTTCCCTTTCACCCCCTTTCTTTTTAAGCTCCTACCAGACAGTTCCACAATTGAGTCAAAGGAGTACTGCCATCATCTGGACAAACTGAGTGATATCATCAAAGAAAATTTACTTCAAATAAGTCTTTCAAAAATGACTTGGATCGGTTTTTTATATGCAGAGATCAGAACTTTCATATGCGTGGAATCATGCTACTACCAAGAAGATGGCAAAAGATAGTAAAAGTGGTCAATATATAATTGAATAAAATAGTATTTATATATTATAAGAAATTTTTTTCCCCCCTCTCTCTCTCTTTCTCTCCCGACAGGAAAAACAAACAATTACTTTCTAAACAACCCACTACTATGAAGGGCAGTAATAATTTACTTTCCAATCCCTGATCAAATTATCAGTTTGAGCATAGCTGAGAATATTCTAGTCCAGGATAAATCTGAAGTATATAGGATATCTCTCACAGTTAAGACTCTTTTCCAGAAGGAAGATATCCAGCTCCAAGTTTTATATATTTCTATTATTAGTAAAATTACTGATGATGGACTTTTTAAAGGATTAAAAGTTATCTTGTGGTTCTGGGAAAAATTCTGAAACATTAGTGAGAGAAATTAATATCCCTGTGAGCAGATAAAACACTTGAATATCTACTCCAAATAAGAGTATCATCTGCATACAATCCCATATAGCAGTTAGAATTAATTTCTGCCTCTGTGCCTACAACAAAGAGGGAAAACAGTATAGGAATAAGTTCTAAACCCTGAGGTATACCCTGGCTTAGTCTGTATCTTTTTGAAAGAAGGTCATTATATTTCACTGATATAATCTGTGCTTTATAAATTCAGAGATCCACAGCAAGGTCATTCCTTTAATATCAAAGTTCTGTATAACTCTGCTAGAAGCTTATTTTCCATACTTTATCAAATGCTTGAGAAAGGTCAAGAAATATGGCCACTGTGTGATTGGTAGATATCATATTCTGAACATCTGAGACATCTTGTCAGAAGAAGAATATCTGATCAATTGTGCAATGTCCTGCTCTAAAACCATTCCATTTTTGCAGAAGCCTGTTGTTTACATTAAGGTGATGTGAAATTCTTTACAAAATAAGTTTCACCATGAGTTTACATAAAATATTTTGTGATGCAGTAAGTCTAAAACTATGTATGTCTGTGGCCTGCATATCTTGTTTTCTGATTGGAATGATAAGAGCATCTTGCCAATCGAGTATGTAAAAAAATAAGTCACCTTGATCTGAGGCTAGATTTACCTCTTAGTTTCCAAAGCTTTGAATTGTTTGTTCAAAAGTCAAATTTTTCACATCATTCTACCCCTTTTTCGTAAAATTAGCATACATTTTTGCACTGAATGCAGTACTCATAGAAGAAGATGGAGAGGCTAACAGATTATCTTGAAAAGCATTTTTTTGCTTAAAGAGAGGGGGGAAAAATTCTGAATAATTGTTAAAATTGGGTTTGAGCTTTTTCCTGTTGCCTCTGGGAATGGCCATCCTTTAAAATACTGCTGTTTATTTTCAAGATCTTCAACTTGGAGATTGTGGTGCAAAAAACTATCCAATGAGCTTTTGAATAAATCTTAATTTGCTTTATTGATATTCCAAAAGTCTTTGCTGGTGTTTAGTTTTTTATCAGAATGTTTCAGCTCAATTCATACAGGCAGGTGATCATTTCCAGTAGACTCTAGTAACTTCATAGAAATAAATACAAGTTGGCACATGTAATATCTAAAACTTTTTGGCTGTTATAGCTATAAGAGCTGTTTGTTGGAAACCTATCATTCAGAAAACAGGAAGCATCGCATCTATAAAATTTGAAAGGATGCACCTCTCTTGTTTGATGTAGAACATTCCTAGAGAAATGCTTTGAATTTAAATCATCCGTTAGAAAAGCTGACTCGTTGCCATAGCTATCAGTAAATCAGTGCATAATAGGTGACACCCAAAAGACTGAATGTTTAAAAATTTCCCTCTCCCCCCCCCATTAAATCTTTGTAGCTTGAATTTCAAATTCGTTATTTTCGAGAGTATTCACTATCTTGTTATTATAGTTTACATTTATCAGTAAAAACATAACCTCCACCCCCATTTGAACATCTGTCTGGGAAGAATGCCATAATCTTTAAGATTAATTTGATGTAGTCACCTGAATAACAATAACTTGGACATTGTGTTTATTTGGAAAATCAAATAACTTTTCTAGTTAAATTTGTGGGAAACTCATGCACAGATTATTTATCTTACATTGCAGTATTCTTAAAATGTTTGTATTAAAAATGGAATGTCCTGTAGATTCTAATTGATTTTAAAAACAGGGGCCTCTATTAACACTCCAAACATATCCCTCTTTATTCTGAATGATGAACAAGGTAGCATTTAAAATCTCAGGTAACTAAGTCATGGTGAAAAATATTAAATACAAATTCAGCAAGTCCAAAAACCTTGAGCCTTTAGGAAATGAAGGCTGAGTTTATCAGTATAATCAGGGTTTAATTTATCAGCTCCCACTTCCATTAGTGTGCCCTCATAAATAAGTATTTTCCCAATTCTCAGATCTTGTGACTTTCTGCGATGTATAATTATGAAAATACTCTAGGGGCATATCTAAAGTCTAAATACATTGTAATAATGAAACTGAAAAAATGTCTGCAAAACAAATATAATAGACTTATAATTGTTCAAACGACAGAAAATAGCTGCAATATACCTGATTTTAAAAACTAACCAGCCATTTGGAAGCTGGTAGCAAAACAAATACTAGAACTTAATTATTGGCATCACCTATCAAAGCTACAATGTTATTAATGCATTAAGTTCCTATTGCATAACTTATCAAGTAGTCTGAACAAAAATACAAATCTTACAATTTGCTGTACAAAAAGAAAATATTTGTTTGTCACTAATTATATTTAAAATATTATGTATTGTTTCTGTGTGAACATTTTATCTGCATCTGTATTTATTTATCTAAACTTAGGCTTCATCGCTAGGAGCTATTAAGAAGTTAACAGAGTTGTCACCTTATCCAGATCAACTTATTCAAAAATATGATGAATTAAAACTCAAACAGTAAGTAATAACTGAGAAATTTGTTTTATTGAGGGTAAGACGAAAAATAAGATGTGCATTTGTTTTCTTTTTATTGCTATTAATTTGCATTTTTCTGGAAATCGTGCTAAATATAAGTCACATTCAAAAAGTTTTAAAATAATTTTCTATTGGTACTTTTAATTTAAAAAATAAATAAATAAAATTTGATTTAATTATTTTTTTAAAAATATGTTTTAAATAATTTTAATACTAGTTATTTTTAAAGTATCTTTAAAAAAAATGGAAGAATCAAAAGTTTTTTTAATGTTTTAAGTTGTACATAATAACTATTTCTTTTTCTACTCTCCTATAAATCTGTGTCATTAGTGCTTCTGCCTAAGAAATCCTATATTAGTTTATGTTGATTTACTTATTCTAGCTCTAGAGAAGTGGATCCACTAGTATGCCTTCTCTCTAAAATTCAAAGTGATGAAAAGGTAAATTAAAAATCAGACTGATTTCCATTTAATACTATCTAAAATTCATATGCTAAAGTTTACATTTAACTTGCTGATTGTGTATGTGGTGTCTCCTTATTTTAAGTGCTGTCGCTTGGTGAATAATAAGTAGTCAAAGACAATTACAGTTTTATTTAGTTGAATTCACTGTTTGAACATACAGATAACTTTATGTAAAAGAATTTATGGCTTTACATAAAAAGTTGAACACCTACTTATGCTATTAAATTATAGATGAAAGGAATTAGAATCAAAGCCACGTGTTTTGTGGCTTGTTACATGTGTTGTACTCCTGAAGTATTAGTTTCACTCCCCAAAGTGGTACTGTCTCTGTTCTGACAGGAAGCATTCTCAGAGTTCATGAGGTTGAGATGATAGGACTATTTTTTGGTGTTGAAAGGAACAAGCCCTCGCACGTGTATGATATGAAATTACTGCCTTTGTTCATTACGAGCAATGCTGTTCTCAAGTTGTGGAATTAAATATTCCTCCATGTGTTCCTCATATCAGATTTTAAAAGATGTAATTATTTTTATATTCCAATATTCTTAATACTGTGTTGTTTACATTATCTGCTGTATGCCTATCTGATTCCTTTTTAGTGTATGTGTTGGACTAAAGACAGTTCCTCCAAAACAGTATCCTCCAAATGCCATCCAATAACAATTTATAAATAGGCGTACAAAATTTTGGATCTTTTCGTTTTAGGACAACATGCGCCAAGCAGTTTTCTATGGAAAGATATATGTGCTGACTTTCTTTCTGTTAAGAAAAATAGCTCATTTGAACTATGGTAAAAACTTTTCTAAATATAATTACACCTTGTTAGGAAAAAGGGAAAATAAGTAAAAAAAGAGGTATCTCTTTATGCGATTCATAACATAATAAAGAGTATGTTGTTTTTACGCAATCTTAAGGTCCCTTAGTGATCATAAAATTTTCAAGAAACAGTAAATAAAAGAGCATTTTTTTTAATTCATGAAAATTATTTAAAAGTAAGAGTAAGAACAATTTATATATCCATTTTTTTTAACTTTTTTAGCTCAAAATCAAGATAATATGTAAAGTAAGAAATAAAAAGTATTTTTGGTTATAAGAAATGGATTCTTTTTAAACTTTTTGGTGTGTTTCTTTTGAACACTCCAGCCCAGAAATATCATGGCATGAGAAATAGAGAGCGAAATCTCACCCTATAATTTTGATGGGAGCAAGAAAGAAAAGGTCAGTAAGAATAAGTGGTTTGTTCAGCACTTGTTGGCATCACATTTGTTCCATATAGGAACTTTGGCATCAGTGCTGACATCAATCTTGCTTCCTCTTCTCGTTTAAAAAAAAAAAAAAAACAAAAAAAAAAAAAAGGGAAGGGTATTGGTAACAGCACATGCTTTAATACCGAGATAATCTGGTAGCTTTAGTTTTCCTATGCAGAAACTGAGGGCACTGAAATGCTGAATGGAATGTTAAAGTCTGTGTAATGAAACAGGAAGGAGAGTAAACTCAAAGGCAAGGAGTATTAGAAAGAAATGCTTTGCATATATTTGCTTCTGCTTATGAAGTAAAGCTTCGTGACTTCATTTTTCACTAGAAAATATAAATTACTAACATATCTTTTAGATTAATTATTTCAATAAATGGAAATTCAGGTAGGATGATACTTACTCTTTGTTGACAATGTTTATTTTGAAAATAACAGAATAAGTAAGAGGTAACAACATATTTAATGTAATGGTAGGCAGTAAGTGGCTATGTTGGCACATGTATTTTTCTGTAAAAATTGCTTGGCACATATTATCCTATAATGTGAAAGGTCCAAATTTTTCTGATACATGAAATTCTGTTTTTGATTCATTTAAGACATTCTTAGACATCAAATACCATACATGGTATTTGATGTCTTTCTTCAAGGTATTGTGCCATAAAAAGATATGCCAAATATTCTTTTTGACTCTAGAATGTATTTATTTGTTTTGAGTAAGTTTTTTTCCTTATAGGGTAATTCATATTCTCACTATTTACAGAAACAATTTAGGCAAGGCATCTAAATTTAGAAATGATTCCTTGACCTAAATTTTTAGTAGTTTTTTATGTTTATATTGGTTTTGGCTTTCTTTTTTTCATGCAAGTCCATAAAGCTTTCTCTATCTTTAAATATTGGCAAAATCTATTTGTTTAAGTGAATGATACATGCATGTAAATAATAAAGTAATTATATTTTGCACAGGTAAAAAATATTCTTAAACAAAGTGCATCTGGAAAGGTGGACGAAGCAGCTAATATGAGTAGCAAATCATCACTGGGTTTAAATGGGCATGCTTCACAGAAGGAAGTCCAAACAGTAAGTGATTTGCATAATCTATATTAATTTTTTTACATGCACTTGATATTTAATGAGTGAAATTAATGTAAATTTTTGTCTTTATTGAAATTTGAATCAAGTATTTTTCATTCCTTATCTTTAAGTGATCAAAGGGCAATATTTTGATTAAATCATGGAGGTAATAATGAAAGGAGAGGCCAACCCTGCACTACGAGTGAAGCACTGATGGGTCTCCAGATGGGTTGTTTTTTGTTTACATTCAGAAGCTCCCTTGACACAGCTTTGATAGCATTTCAGCACACAACAGTTCCATATAAATCGAAAAACGGGACACTTACGCATAAAGGAAACATTCATTGTGTGATGGATAATAGCAATTTGTATAGTTTAATGGCATTTATGCAAAAATCACATCTTGGTTATTTTTTATAACTCACAGCAGCGATTCTGATTATGAATTTGTTTTATAAAATTCTAAGCTGTTGAACTACAAAAATATAGATTTTAGCAAAAATGTTATGCTTAAAGAATGAAAAATACCTTATGGTACCTTTAAAATTGTATATGTCTTTCAATACCCTTGATAGAATATTCTCTACTTTTATTTCATGTTTCAAATACCAACATGTTTTAAATAAAATAAGTTTTTTTTGTCATTCACATATTATTGTAACATACATTTTAAAAAATTTTAAAGAAGAGGCTTAATAGTTGCTCATTTTAAACTCATCATTTTATTTTTATATGACTGAAATAATCACTTTGGATTAACTAAAAAATAAAATTACCATCAAATACTGCAATCCTCATCAAAATTAATAAATATACAGACAGGTATGCCAATAAGATAACATTTCCTTGATTTGTAACCACACATGAATTATGTGTAAAATTATGTACAAATGTGTGGAACAGAAGAGAGATACATTTGCGAATTCTGCTGAAGTACCATCTGCGGTCAAGATGATGTAACCATGTGAATGTGCCACATCATCAAGACAGCTTATTAAGAATTTAATCGACGGAGGTGAAAACATTTCTGTATCCTGCCAAAGGAGGTCTGATCATGAATGGTCTGCTTATTGATTCCAGATTGTTCATGTTTATAATGATCATAAATATTATTTAAATGTATCCTTAACATTTAATTGTAAACATAAATTGAAATTCTGTTGACAAATATGTTTATAAAACTATTCAAGCAAGAATTGTTCGTACTGGAAAGCAGTATGTTAAAAGGTATAATAAAGCAAATTCTATGAGATGAGATGCATACTTAAGGAAGTTGAAAAGAAGAATTTTAGAATATGTGTTGTTCAAATTAAGGGTAAAAAATAATTTAATGAATTATTCCCTTATATTTTATAATAATTCAGTTAAAAGTTTTAAATAATATTTCTTAAAAAAATCCTTTTTTTTTATTCCCTTTCTGTAATATTCAGAAAGTTAAGTACATAGAAATCAACACAAATATTTAATGTATTTTACTATTAAAATAAAAGGTGCTGTAATTTGAAATAGACTGAGTTGAGCATTAATTATAAATTGACTCAGATTTTTTATTAAGAAGCCTCTGAAGCTAAAAAATCATGTCATATTTGAGAAAGTATTTTAGGAAGAAGCTCTGTAAATGGAAAAGAAGTAATGCGTAATTTTAATATTAATAATAGGATAAACTTTTATCTTAATTTTTGTAATCCTTAACCAGATAAAATTGAATTACCTTAAATTTTTTTTCTAATGTAATTAATGAAAACTTGTGAAAATAATTTCATTCAAATTAAACTGTTCTGTGAAAAGTGTAGCATTTAATTCTGTTCAGAATGAAATGTTGTTTAAAAATGTATTCTTTTCACATACTGTAAAAATACTGTAGAAAAAAAAAAATATCTACATTTATATGTATATTTATGACCTAATTACAAAATGTTTACATCCAATCGTGTCATTGATCTTAATGGTAAATCACTGAATGTTTTGGTTTCCATGAAGGGATCGCCAGTGTTTCAAAACAGTGTATGGGGAAAACCAGTTAGGGCCTCTCCTCTTACTTCCTACCTCCATGAATTAAACGGTGTAATAAGTTAAAAGTTGCTACCAACTTTATTATTATTAATTCGAGACTTGTACTTTTAATTATAAAGCGTTTCTTGCTATAAGGTGCAGAATTTTTCTTGACTCTGTGTGTGGAGTTTCATTTTTGTCCTTTCATTTTGATTGCTGGCAAAGTTAATTGTAACATTTTTCCCATTTTAGTATTTATAAACAAAACTTAAAGTTATAAACTTTGAGAATATAGTACAGTGGTGGCCAAAATTGTGGATACTTTTGGAAATTTTTATGTTTTTGAACTTTGTATGCTTATAGAAAATGTTACGTTTCACAAAATGCAAACTTGTGTATATCATTTTAAAGAGAATTTATTACTGAATTCAATACAAAATTCAGTTATTTGCAATACAAGAAAAGTTAAACGATAAAAGTTATCGATATACATTAGATAGTGATGATTGCAGTGAGTTATCATTACTTAGTAGGGTACTCTTTATTTTTTATTACAGCTTCACATCGACGTTTCATTGAGCTGAGAAGAGTTTTAAGCTCTTCTTTCGTTATTACATGATGCCAGGAAACAATTATAGCCTCAATTAGTTCCCTTTTATTTGATGGGCGCCTCATTCGGACAAGAGTTTTCAAACGGTGCTACAAATTTTCGATAGGATTGCGTCAGGACTGTTTCCTGGTCATGACAACAATTTAATGCTCTTTGTACGAAACCACTCTTTCGATATTTTGGCTGTGGGGCAAGGAGCAGAATCCTGCTGAAATATAAACGAAGCTTTGTTGGGAAAGAGATCTCTGATGGAAGGTAGAAGTTTTGGTTCTAAAATAGTGTCAATGTATTTTCTGGCATTCAGTGTCTCATCGATGACATGAAGGCAAAAAAGAAATGCAAATCTTATTCTATACAGCATAACATAAAAAATGAATAAATAAGAATAATTCATATTCCTAGCACTAATAACATCACTCGTGTTATGTTTTGAGATCTTTATTGTTGGACATAAGATTTTTAAGAGTAAGAAAGTCTGATAACATTTACCCTGTTCATACTGCTATTGAGAACAGAGTGAATGTTAGAAACAAGCATAAAATTAAATTAAAAAAAAAAAAAAAAAAAAGTAGTAGAAGGAGTAATACTTTGGGTACGGAAATGAGAATAGGTCAAATGCACTCTGAACATTGACAGTTGACTCCCCACCAACATGTTTATGATCTTCTATCTAGTTAACCTTTTAACTGACATGCCCGAAATAACATGACTATATAAACGGAGAATCACGTTTCAAACTGTTGCCACCAAATGTTAAGAGTCCTGCATTATATTTGAAGAAATTAAATAATGAAAAATCTGCATAAATGTATGTATATTTCTCACATTGTGATAAAAAAAGGTACATAGAACCATCAAATTTTGAATGATGTAATCCTCCTATGAATATGGGCATGTGGAAGACCAAATTTGGAATTTATTTTATTATCAATTTCATATTTTGTAAAACTTTAATAAATTTTTGAGTAACAAACTTAACGATTTAAAAGTGAGCAATGGCAACATTCTACTGAGGGTAGAAATCTTTTTATCTTCAGTGCACGGAACTGTGTATCAGAAATTCTAAAGATATGCTCATTTTAAAAAGTTTTTGCAACATTGCTGTTGAACTGAATTTTATGGTTTTAAATTTTAAAATTAATAAATAAATAAATTTTTAAATTTTATGGTTAAGTGCAAAGAACATGATACTTAATAAATAAAGGTAACACACAAAACGTTAAAAAAAAAAGTCTCTTTGGACCTAATTTAAACCTGAAGCCACCTTTTTTTTTTTTTTTTTTTCGCATTACAGTCAAAAGTCGTTAATCCGGACACCCATAATTCGGAATGATCTATAATCCGGACCTCAAAGCTAAAAACTTTCTGCGCATGCGCCGCGTTGACACATGCGCATAGACGTTTATGCGTGCGTGTAAGACCATTTGTTGGAAAATGTAACTTATTGTAAACCTTTTACTGCATCATCTCTCCTCCTTGAAATGTTTATTTAGTTTAATTCTTATTTTAATGTAATATAGTAGTTACTTCTACTTCTTTTTCTTATTGTCACTGTTTGCGTTGAGAATGGACTGTTACAACTTAATTGAGATGCAAAAACGAAACGTGATGTTACGTCATCTGGAAAGCCGATTCGTGCCGATAGCTGATTGGTTGCCGCGAGAAGACGTCATGCCTACTTCTGCTATAAGTATCTCGCGTCGCTCTGGTTCAACCCTTCTAGTTCCTGCTTTCCTGGCACTTGGGTGTGCGGTTTCCAGCCCCTTCAGAAGGATGCATGCAGTCCGGTGAATAAAGTTCCTTGGTTCCTGTTCACAAGATGGCTGTTCCTGAATAAAGTTCCTTGGTACCTGTCCACAGATGATTGTTCCGGAATAAGTTCCTTGGTTCATATCCACAAGATGATTGTTCCAGAATAAATTCCTTGGTTCCAGAGGCTACCATGGGAGTGACTGCCGCGGGTGGCATCCATGTTCTTCAATGAAGGTGGCATTTAAAATACGTAACCGGCAATTCCTCGTGTTCAACTAATGCAAACGGAGTTAGGCCGGTTTTGAGTGCTTTCAAGAACTTGATTTAAATTTCAGGTGTTTTCTCGACCATTGATCATGGACTTTTTGAATGTGTAGCCAACTTCATTTTTAGGCCGCATAATTACTGTTTAGGACATTTTTGTTTGTATTGAATGCCAGTGCTTTTGGAGACCAGGTAAAAATATTATTTGATGAATGATGGTTATATTATATTTTCCTAAGACTCTGATATTGTTTAAACTTATTTTCTGTGTTTTTATTCTTTATTATATTGTTAATAAATTGGTTAAGTTCGAAACCTTTTATTGTCTTCAATGTCTGCACAACATATTATCTCAGGAAGCTTTTATTGCTACTAATGCTAAAATGTTTAATTTTATAAACTTTAAACTTTGCTTTAGCATCACCTTTTACGACTGCGCATATGAGTGCGCAAGCGCAGAATACTTTTTCGCGTGCACATTTTATGTATAACCGACGGTATAAACTAAAATTATCTAATTATCTATTTCAGTTATAGTTGATGATTGCATTGTTCCTTAATTTTCAAATTCGATCCGGCTTATTATTTTTTGCAGACTGTAAGAGCAATACTATAAAAGTAATATTGAACTTTCGATTATGTCAAATAGAATTTCCGATTCTGGAGCTCCCAAAGGATCGTACAAAACAAAAGTATGTTTTGATGTTCATCAAACAAAAAGTGGAATTGCTGCAAAAAATGGATAAAGACATGAAGAATGTGACAGAGAGGTTAGTGAAAACGAAAAAATTTCGATTGACAAGTTAGTCGGTATTCTCGGCACAGCAATTGACGGGACATGAACAGCGGAAATTTGTAGCTAAACAAGAAATTATGTCTGTTTCTAGAATTAAAGAGAAAGTATTATCACATAAAACGAAGCAACTTACATTGAAAGAAATGTTTAATAAAGTAAATAAATAAATATTAAGCTTTTTCTTTCTTTTTTTTTTTTTTTTTTTTTTTTTTTTTGTAAATTTTGATACCCTTTAGATCATAATTGTTCTTTATTTCATAAATTACAGTTTCATATTTTTAATTTTAGAATTTCTGCATGCCATCTTACGAGATTTAAACTGATGATCTATAATCCGGAATCGCCGAAGTCCCGACGAGTCCGGATTAACGACTTTTGACTGTATATTGTTATTCCCAAATATATATCGTGAGAAGTTTATTTCGCCTTCAGTTCAATAGATGGCAGCACTTTACTGAAGGTTTCAAAGGATAGAGGTTTATGCTCAAAATGCATGTAATTTTTATTTTTTTGCGGCAAACATTTGATTTTTGCAATAAAACAAATTGATGATTTATATATCCAAATCATCAAAATAACTTGTCAGTTAAAGGGTTAATATATGAACTAAGATATTTAGGTATTTTGCATAACTTGAGAGTGCCTATAAGGTTCTACAAATAACTTTTTTGCTCTTCATTATCAGTGTGTCGGCTCAAAATGAATTTACAGATTTATGGAAAACAAAAAATCAGCTGGGCTCAAGCTTGTAAGTCGCGGATTATTGCAACTTTGTATTTATTTTTGAAATGTACTACTCCCCCCTTTAATACTCTGCATTGCAGATAAATAAAACTTCACATACTGAATTAATAGGTATATAGTCCACTGTAGTATGTTACCTATATATAGAATATCATCATTCAGTTTTCTTCAAACCACTGTTTGAGTGCTGTTTTACTACATTAAAATATGTGCATAATTAAATTCTTCTTTGTTAAAGATTCGTCAGAAAGTACCAGTTTCTGTTCTTTTGAATGAAAGAAAAGAAAGTTCTGCAAAAAGGAATGGTTTGTATTGTATTTAATTTTTATTTGCTTTCAAAATTTTAAATTATTTTATTCTTAACTTCACACATATTCCATTTTCATTTGTTGTAAAGAAAGTTGATATCGTTTAGGAATCATAATCTGCCGCATTTCACTTGGATATAAAAAGAAGTAAAAGGTAGTGAGATTTCCCATTTTTTGCAACAATTATATAGTAAACCATAAATTTCAAATTTGATTAAAATATTGCAGTTAAAGTTTATGTATAGTAGCATCAACTTTTTGAATAGTAAATTTTAGACTTTTATGATTTCTTTTATGCATCAATTGTGTTTGCAATAAAGATTTAATAGTAATACTTATATTTTTAGATATATATTTGTGTTCCTCAAACAATGATTTGTATAAATGTTAGATTGTTGGCTGTAAAATGTTTGAGAGTAATAAAACACAAGGATTCTTTTCCTAGTCAAGAAGGGAATTTTGTAATGCTATTAAATTTATTGTAAATATATTAATTTAGAATGTTTCAAAAGAATATAGTAAAGTTAAATTTTAAAAAATTATTGGAATTATATATTTATTCATAGATTTTGATACTTGCACTTGATTTACATATGCTTTCAAAATTTAAATGATATTATAGATTATTTTGCAGCAATAGTTAATCATTTTTTGTAATTCAATTTCATTTAAAATTTAATTAACTTTAAATTTGCTTTTTAGGAATAGAGAATGTTTATTAAATTTAAATTTAGAATGTGATATGATTATTGAATTTTTAGTGAATTTTTAGTTTTTTAAACATTTATCAATGGATGTGTCACCTCATATAATATGATTATCAAAGCCCACTCTTAAATCGCTGAGCACTTATCCAAGTAGTAAAGAAGATATGGATATTATGTTTTATACATAACGATTTTATACATGTATAACTGTTTAGTGAAGTGGTTCCCAGTCTGTGCACTGTAGTGCCTCGAGGCATTGCAAAATATTCCTGCCCATTTCACAAATATGATACTTGATATGTGATTTTAAAATGGAACAATCAATATATTTGTACCATAATTGGAAGACTATTTAGCATATATGCAAACCACTGTTTTTGAATAGCTTATTGATTGGTTTGGAAATTATTTTCAGAGACATAATGTTGACAAATTTGTCATCATTATCTCTCTATTCATCATGGATTCAAGACCCTTTCTGAGGTAAAATTTCATCTGCATTTGCTTCTATAGGATGGAATCTTATTGAATTGTCCTGTGATAATACACTGGAGACAGAATTCGATAGCAAGCAGCTAATTGATTTTGGGGTGTGATTAAAAAAAATAGAATAGTTCATGTGGGATTTTTTTTCTAATACTAGCAATCAGCAAACTAATTTTTAGCAATGATTATGATAAAAAGCAAGCATCAAAAGAAAAAATGTGTTGATCTGGAAAATTTTGTACAAGTTTGCTTCCAAGATTTCAGAAGAAGTGCTATTGAAAAGGGGCTCACCTATCTCACTAATTGTGATTAATTTCTTTAGTGATATAATTATTGAAAATATGCATTTTTTGTATCTCTGAAGATAAAATGCATGTTTATTATTATTATTATTTAATCAGTCATATCCCGTTAGTTAAACTGTGTAATTCATAGGCCTTTGTTCTAATTTTGAGCACTGTAGAGAAACTCTGTTTACGAAAAATGTTTAGGAACCTGATGTAATAACTTAGTAGCACTGGAAACTTAAAATTCTGTGTTATGTAAAGTTCTGTTGAGAAAGTTTTGCATGCCTGCCAGCTCTAAAAACTTCTCAAAGTTTTTTTAGCACTTTAGGTTTAAGTAATGTAATAAAATTAATTAATTATGTGCTGCTGTACCAAATTTTTTCTACTTAAAAGTATTTTTCAAAACTCACTAAACCATTTTAAATATTCTTATTTTCAGTTCCTCCTGGTATCTATGCTTTGCCAAAATGGGTGAGAGAAAGGCCAAATTTAAGCTGGGATTTTGTATCTGAATCCAGGCCCGATTTTATACATGTATGCATGTTTTGTGCTTTCTTAATAATGTACATTATTATATGTCTTTGCAGATAATTCATTTTTTCATTCTGTAAATATATAAGAAATACTTCTGAAACAATTGCATATTGTTCTGTATTACAGAAGCAAAATTTATGGTGTAGTCATGATTAGTGTATGAATGTCTAAAAAGTAATTTAATCTTATATAATAATTTCTTGTGTTATGAAATGAACACATCATTCTAATTTTTTGTCAATTTATCAATGATTTCTTTAAACATAGATATATTTTTAATCTCAACAAACGGGAACACATAATTTACCAGCAATATAAGTGTTCTATGTGTTGATGTAGTTTCCTTATTTCTTTTTAATTTTCCTTTCTTGTATTTTTAAGTAACAGTATTTTATTAAATACATAAAAATATTAATTACTTCCCATTTTCTAAATACAGAGTGGGCCAATTGGAACTCTACCTCCAAATGTGCAGGAAAGTCGTCTTATTGATGATATTCTCTTTTGTCTTGTGGTAAGCATTAGTTTAAATTTTGTAAATGTGTTTACTTTATTTGATTTAAATATTAACAGATGTTAATTTAAATCTTTAATTTAATATGTGATAAATGCTATCATAGGGAATTGAAGGAGATTATATTCATACACAGAAGATCTCAAACTTTGATTCTAGAAGAAATTTTACAATAGATGATAGTGCAAGTGAGTAATAGTTGTATTTTAGAATATTTTATGTTGCTTTAAAAGTGCATGGATGGTTACAAAAAAGTTGTTTAAAGTTTAAAGAGAAACTTTGGTTTCCTTTATCAGAAGCAGATCTCTGTTGTGCACTGCTGGATTTTTCATCCTTTGACCCATTTGTTCTCTTTTATCAGTAAAAACATCTTCAGATTTAATCTTTTCAGGCAATGCAAGGTATCCAAAGCAGTAAAATGCTATCATAAACACCAAAAGAGGCATTCTTTCATTAATCTCAAATGTTGGAGCAATTATGTGTATTCCAATTATTGTTACTTTAACAATAACTGAGCAGCTTTTTCCTCTCCCTCCCCTCTTTTTTAAGAACATTTCAAATAAAATCTTACATGCAGCTTCCATGAGCTTTTTTACCTTAAAATTAGATTTGGAGTTGTTTAATTTATGCAACATAATATCATATCAGATTAAATTACTTCAAGTCTAATTTATGTTAGAAAATTTCATGTTAAGTATAATGTATGGTACTTAGTGGATATTGATTGATTTCCTTGCTTCTGGGGTCAGGTTCTAATCTTAAATAATGGTGGAGTTTGTGTTTTGGAGGTCTTTATCAAATGGTGATGTTTTAAATATATTGATCTGAAAGAACTCTGAAGAGACTGATGGTAGAAAGTGAAATATGGAACCCTTAGATTGCATCATGCAGCATACTTAGTGAAATTTAGTTAGATGATTTATATGGGCTTTATCTGAATTTAGTCATGTTAGATTATATGAAATCAGTAAATGATGAAACTACTGCTATTGAACTAATCAAGCTCAGTTATTTCTACTATTAAAGAATGAAGAATCTGTATGTTTGTATGCTCCTGTCGTTGTGAAAAAATGGCGACAAATTTTAAACACATATAGTCATCCACCTAAAAGTATGCACTTGAAAACCCACATTTTAATTTTTTAATTTTTTTAATCTATCAATTATTAATCAATTTATTTAATCAATTTTTTATTAATCTCAGTGATTTGAAAACAAAAAGTAGTAGTACTGTTCGAAATAGAACATTTTTATCTCCAATGTAACCGTTTGGCAAAATGTCTTTCAGTACTAATTGACAAAATCTGCTATTTAAAAGCAGTGTGTTGCTAGTGCCTTTATAGCTTGGAATAAAAATACTTTTGCCTTCGATGTGCCAGCGTGTTGCTATTCAGTAAAGCATTAAGATATTTAACTTTCAAATTTAATTTGTCTGATATTCAATCAAAGTAAATAAGCAATAAAATGCAGTTCTTAAGTATATTTTTTCTACTTTTTAATCTGATTGATTTAAATAAAAATGTGTTTAAATTATGAGATGTCTAATTAGAAATATTAAATATATTATGAAATTATGCTAGCTGAACTCGTTAAAATCATAATATATGCATTATTATAACTGTTTTGTGAGGCTGTCCACACAAGCTCCTAGTGATTTGAAATTTTAAAAATGTTAGAAACAGATATGTATATTGCAATAAAGAAAAAGGGTGTACTTATTCTGCCATAAGGGTTTCCAAAGGTTTTTTTGTGATGCCTCCCTATTGCTAAAAATGAAATTTACCATGCCCCGTATCCCATAATAATAACAATATATACCTATAAGGGTAATCAGACACTAAAAACATAATTTATAAAGTTTTTAGTATAGAAATATGCTGTTCAGACACATATGGTAAGGAGAAAAAGAAACAGCTAAGATGGATCGATAAGATGGATGTGCTTGCATATTGTGGACAAGATGTTCAATTCTTGGTTGAATAGAAGAAAGTGTGTAACATAAATCACTAGCAATATTGCGTTTCCTATGGTTGCTGAAAGTGCACTTTCGCACAAGTGCTTGAAAACAGTAAGTACAGTTGTAGTGGTTGCCCTGCTGTGCTGGGATAAAATTTGAGATATTTTACCCAAAATAATGACTCGTCCAGCCTTCGCAGAGTCATATTTAGCTGCAGAATCATTTTTAATTTCCAAAGCTTGCTCTTGCAGCGTTTCAGGTAGCACATCTATGTCAATGTGAAAAGGGTCTGTCGCCATTCTCTAAACATTTTTATCATATAAGTCAAGGAAGTAATGTTTTAATTCATCTGTGATGTGCTGCAAATGATTTGATATTTTATTCTTAGTACTAGTATGCTTAAAGCCCTCCTTAATGTGCCCTTCTTCCAGAATTCGAAATAATTTGGGAAAGCAGGAATAGTTGCAGTCTTAAATTTTATGTTCCCTGAGTTGCAACTTATCAGTATACGCTGTGATGGCATCCCGATGATAAGTTATGTTCAAATCTCCACCTTGTAATTTCCATTGACCTCAACAAATTGAAAATATCTCATAGATAAGCCAATACAACTTGAACATTTGGCTTTTGAATTCTACGTACAATTTGGTTTGGTTTTGAATTTCCAAGAACTGAATCACTTCATCTCGAAGTTCATATAATCTTGTTAATATATTTCCTTTTGAGAGCCAGCCTACTTCCATATGAAATAACAGTGTTTTATGTTCTGTTCCCAAATCTTCACAAAAGGCCATAAAAAGCCAAGTATTTAAAGCACTCTTTTGTCTTTTAGAGCACTATGTTTTGTTGACAAATGTCACTCCAGACTAGAAGGTCTCATAATATCATTGCTCAGTACTTCGTAGCAAATAGCACATTGCAGCTGGTTGACACTACTTTTTTGTATAACAACAAAACGATATTTAATATAACCCTCATTGTATTTGCTTTATTTTGCCAAACTCATGACAGAGAAGAAAAACGAATTTAACAAATCGACAGTTTATTTTTGCATTAAAAGTACACATAGAATGAATGGTATCGCAGAATTCTGAACTCTTGACAAATGGGACCTTCAACCTTCTACACCAGCTCAACTACTGTTTCTTATGTGCACAAACAGGTATTAAAGGTGACAGCTATTCTTTGATTTGCATGCACAAAAAGTATTAAGACTCGATGGATAGCCCGTGTAAAGTAAACCTGGAATATATTTTTCCCTCTGCGATCTGATGCAGCCACTCCTGCTTTGGAAAAGCTTTCGTTCTTAACATACACATTCTTTTGCCCAACTAAGACAGGGTGGTGCAGTAGGCACAAGTAGCAAAGTACTGCTCGCCTAGCCCATGCCCCCCTTTAGATGTCGTTCTGCCTCCTATGGGGACACGCCCTGTACTTTCAAAATCAATGTTGTAAAGGATATAATATACAGTAGGTGCCACTTAATATGCTCACAATTGTCCTCAGCTATTTTAATAGCATTCATTAAATGATAACAGTAAGCAATGAGAAAAAATATCCTTCAAAATAGAAAGAGAATTTAATTCAGAAGTCAAACAACAAAAACCAGCGTTATATTTACAAAATTTTTTACAGGACTAGTTTTGATGGTTTTACCGAACCACCATCCTCAGCTGTAAAACCGCAAATGAACAAGATAGGAAATAATGATTAGATAAGAAAGTCTGGACAAGAATAAGCAAGTGGTGTCATCTGTTGGTGAAACTAGAACTAAAACATAATTTCTTTAAAGGCCGAAGGCAAATTTGGATTGGAATTAGGATCGTTAACTAGAACAGAAAGATTTTTATGAATGTGAAATGCCTCTAGAAAATCCAGTTCTCCAATGGAAGATGTTTTCTGAATAATTTTCGCAGCAGAAAAATTGAAAGTGTGGTTTTCGGACCAACAATGTTGAGCAACAGACGACTTCTGTGTTTCCTTTTTTCTAACATATGCCTCATGTTCCTTGATGCGAAATTTTAAGGCTCTCTTAGTTTGGCCAATGTAAATTAAACCACACTGGCAAGGAATACTATACAGGAATTCATATCCAGAATGGGGTCCTTGAGTATGGAACTCGGAATTTTACTGATGGGAGAATAAGAGAATTTAATTTGTTATAAATTAACTAAAATCCTATAAATGCATACTTTCCTACCATTTTAATCAACAAAAATGCAAAGTTCATTAATCAACTTTTCATGATGTTTCAGAAATTATTTGACCATTACTTATCCCCTACTCTTAATACTTAGAATGCATCTCTCATCTCAGATTTGCATGGAATTCACTGATTTCATCATTTTCAGAAACTATATCACTATATATTAGATTGATTTCAGAAAGCAGTTGATGGATATCTTTTCTGACATTGATATTATGGCTTGAATTTTTCTTATGAGTATCCACCCATGCATTTAATTTCTCACAGTTTGTGTTAGTTAGAGATATTGCTTTTTCTTTCTCAACTCCCACTATTTCATCATTTATTAAAAGGTTGGCATAATAAATACAGTTCTTTATTCTTTTCTAAGAGATGGTTCCAAAACAATTTCAGCAAATACAGCACATCAGGAAGTTTAGTTATCCTTTCTGATTCATTCACATTTATGTCCATATCACCCATATCATATCATACAGCTGTGAGCAAATGATGCTGTTGGCACCTGCAGGTTTTAAAATTGTGTGCACATGATCTGTAATAAATCATAGATTTGCGAGAAAAATGTTATGTACAAGAAAAACAAAGTGTAAGTCTTTTGTTTTGTATAATTTTAGTTAGTGTTTAGAGTTTTGTTCTGTCAGATACATGGAATAAATTTAATATACAATCTGCTTGAATGTTATATTGAGACACGGAGTTATAAATAGATAGGATTAATCTGTCACTCTTGAGGGAGATTAAATTTAGAAATATAAATGCCATTATAAAAAGTTTTCACATTTGTATCCGAGTTATTATTTTTAATAACCATTATTGATGTAAGATCATAAATCAACATCTAGTTATAAATTCCATTTTTGCAGATTTCTAAGTGTACCTGATTTTTGAAAAGCTGCTTCTGTACTAAAGAGCAGCTTAAAGTATAAAATAATATCAAATCCTTCTCTTTTTGTGACTGCATTGCTTAATTTTCCATTCTAGCTTTTAATCACAATATTTTCGTAGATCCAATAATTCCATTTTTAATATTTTATTGCTGTAATTCATATGTGTTTGTAATCTTAAATTTTCTTTTTTTCTTATAGGTATTGCCCTAAAGTTACTAGTACAAAATATGCTTCCAATGTTTTCCCATTACTCAACAATAATTCATTTTGTTGAAGGTATGGATACTTAATAATATTAATTATTAAGTATTAATATTAATTATTAAGTAATTATTAAGAACTATTACTTAACTCATTTACCATGTGCATTTTGGTTCTCAAAATAGACTATTTTCATTAGTTTGAGATATTTTTGAAATCTGCAATTAATCTAAAAAATTTTCTTCAGTATGCGTGTAAATACATTGCATTTTCAATACATAGTTGCTGTATTATGTTGTGTGTTTATGAAATTAGAAGACGCAGTCATTTCATTTTCTATGCAAATCATATCTGTTTTTGGTCTTTTTTAATATCAATATTGCTTCCTTTTCAGATTATACTGATTATAATATTTAATTTAAGAACTCTCATCTTTCATAACTTCTTTATAACACAATTATTTTGCTACATTTATTATCAAATACAATTCGTTCATATTTTGATTATAAAATTACCTCTGTATTCATCTGAAAGTAGCATTTAAAATGATAGAATGCACAACTAAAAAGCAGAGTACTGTTGTGCATCTTTTTATTGACTTAAAGAAATTCTTTTATTTATAATGAGATTGTCTTGGCCATGCACAAAAATTTGTTATTTTTGAAATTAAATTGCACAAAACTTGCTTTAAAAATCTGTTTATTGTAAATCATTTAAAAGAAACTTGATGGCTTTTAATTTTGAAGTTCGGTCTCAGACTAAGTTACATTACATTCACAAGAAATTCAACCTTAGATTGGCATGAATATTTATATACATAGAAATACTGTAAATATTTCTGTAAAATTATTGTTAGATTTATGGGTTTTCATTTCATTTAAAAGATGATATAAGCACAAAAATTTTGTAAAGATATCAGAAATTTATAAAAATTTAGCAAATAAATATAATGGAATGTAGTTCACCTCAGTTTTTAAAGGGATAAAATATGCTAGCAATAAAACTTCCTAACAAAAAAATAAGGATTTCTTGCCTATTATGCTACAAAATTAATGTCCAGAGTTATACTATGCATAGCCAAAAGTAGAAAGGAAGAAGTACACTGTAGAAATATATTTTCTGTAATCACAGCTGGGTACTGGTATTTACTGTGAATTATGATTAAATCTACTTCTTGTTTAACTATTGCATCACTGGAAATATCTCGCAGTGATAATCATGCTCATAGATGAATGATAGATAACACTCAACCAAATCAATCTTAAAATGAGGTGAACTTAGTCTCTCTCATTAAATAATGAGCATCCTCTAGTAATCATAGTATGCTGTATAACCTAATAGCAAATATAAAGTGATGCAGAGTATTATTTATCTTCCTACACTGTGTGACAATTGCTAAACAGTCATTTTTCATCATGACTGATGATCGGCATATTTTAAAGAAATGGGATCTGGCACATATTTTTAACAGAGGTCTTGAAGTATCATTGTTATGAAAAGTGGTATAGATATCACCACACAGTCAAACAAGATAAGAAAAAAATTATGCTCCTTAGAACTCTTTTCAACTGTTATGGAAAATGCTCATTCTGTTTGAAATAAGAACAGCTATACGAGTCCATCAGTATAGCTTGTGACCTCCTCAGACACTAAGTGCATGTTTGGTATTTGTTATGAATAGTGTCCTAAACTGTTGAAAAAAGCTTGGAAGAATCTGTCTCATTTGTCTGTCGGTATGATTTTGAGTTTCTGTAGGATCGAAAAAGGTTTCTGTTTTTGAGAAATACATCTGCCCGGTACATCCCAGGCAAGCTTTATGGAATTTTAAGTGCAGGAATATGCAGGCTATGTCACACACACAAATAATCAGTTTGTTGACTAAAATCTGGTGACAAAACATTGGTAAACATGTTAAAGTAAAATATTTCAAGTCGGAATTTTTAAGAAAATTAATGCATTGAAAAGAAATTTATTAAAGTAAAACATGTTTTTGATAAAAGGCAGAAAATTTCCCAAACTAAGGAAATATGAAAATGCAGCTTCCCCAACTGCTGTTGGATTCACTCCTACTAACACAACTTTAAAGCTTGTTAAATTTATTTTTAATGACTGCTTTCTTCACACTTATGTCACATAATTCCTGATAGAGTGTTAAGTGTTGCCATATTTTTTCCAAAGTCTTTTCTCAGTTATCATATCGATGTTAATTTTTCTTAGTAAGGTGACTTGCAAAAAGTTTTCGTTTTTTATTATTAATGTTTTGTCTCTTTGACTTTCATTTATGAAACATCACTTCTTCACACATATGCCATATAAAATTTAACAGCAAAATCACAAAACATTTAAAAACAACAAATCTTTAAAATTCTTGATAAAATGTTAAATATTGCCATACTTTTTTTATATTTGCTATGTTGTTTCTTTAAAAATAATAACATATGGTTGACAGCATCCTTTTATTTGAAAAGTGATATGTGCAGAAAAGTGAAATTTAACAGTAATAACACTTCTGGTGCTAAAAATGAAGATTTTTCACAAAATGTATAGCCAAATATGAGCTAAAAAAAAGCATCCTCTGAATCAGAAAGGAAACTTGTCTGAAAAATTGTAGATTATCACTTGCACAATTAAAATGGATATGGGAAGATCATAATGTGTCAACGCTGGTACTGTAAAAAGATGCCTTCTGAAAGTTGGATTTAAAAAAAAAAAATCTAAGTTGGCATCTATTATAGTGTTCACTGCAGTTTTAATACCATTTTTTCTCCATGATGGCAAAAGCCAAGAAAGTTAATCCCTTTTGCCCATCTATTTAATTTTTATTAATTTTGGAACTGTTTGTAGCTTATGGCTAAACCTGCGTATATATGCACACACACACACAATAAGAAACCTTACCAAAAAAATTTTTTAAGATTCAAATGCAGGAATTTTTCAATTAAATTAATCATATTTCCTTTACCTACTATTGCTTATATATATATATATGTGAGTGGGTGGGGAGTTGAAGATGATATTCTTAAGAAAGTAACACTTCCACACATCCACACCACAAAACATTTAATGAATAATAATCTTAAGCTACAGATTGGAATTAAATAACAGTACCCTTGAGCGTTCTCGCGCTGGTTAGATACAAATACAGTTTTGCATGACTTTAAGTATTTAAATAGCTACTCAGCGCCTTCTCGTACTCGCTATCATATACAGTTCTTTAGTTACCACCTTCGTGTGGAATTAACATCTATCTGACATTATTGCCTTTTGCGTCCTCTTGCTGTCGGCGCATAGGTGATGCCCTCTGGTGGCTGTGTTGAACTAACAGATACCATAGCTCGGCGATCCTGACTCTGTTTTTGCCTTCAAAAACACAGATCAGCATCACTGGTATATCAAGACAGCACCTGAAAATAAATTTAAAAAAAAACAAAGAGATAGAAGTGCAGAAGAACCGCACACAGTTCTAAACAGGAGCAGTCCAAAGGTTCTTGTGATCAGCGGCTGTAGCATTAAAGCCAGGACCTTCATGGTGTCCTACTTTTTCCACCTGGTACCGGTCATTGCCTTTCTTTGCTGTTACTCGGTACGAACCGAAGAACTTTGGCCTTAACTTTAGACCACCTCCATACTGCGTTCTTTGTACGGCAACTAGGTTGTTCACATTGTATACCTGTACCTCTTTTCTCTTCTTATTGTACATTTTTCTATTCTCTTCCTGAATTTTTAGGATCTTTTTCCTTGCTTCCTCTCTCATATCTTCTCAATCTTTCATCATAATATTTGTTTCTCTTTCTTCGAGAATTTCCATAATTTTTAAGTCCTCTCGATTTCTTATTTTAACATTAGTGAGAAACTCAAATGGAGAACTCTTTGTGCTTCTGCTCTTAGTGCTGTTCAAGATCCATTATACGTCTCCAACGTATTTGTACCACTTAATAGGATCATCTATGGATAATTTGGATAGAACTGGAATCAGAGTCAGATGAACTCTTTCCACCTGCCCATTTCCTTTAGAAATGCCTGTAGTTGTAAATATGTGCTGGATCTTCTCTTGACTACAGTAATCTTCAAAGTTTTTAGAGGTAAAAGCTGTCCTTTTATTGCTTATTATTCTCGAAGGATTACCGAAAGTTGATTGCTGCCATTTCAGCTTCTGCAATGCCTCTTGAGCTGATGTAGACTTTACTGGATACAGCTACGTGAACTTTGTAAATGCTGTTAAGAGGTGATTGTAGTTCTTATTTGTCGAAGGTAATGGTCCTATAAAATCAATATGAAAAGTGTTCAAAGGGATATTATCTATTTGTATGGGATTCAGCAACCCTTTGCCCTTACCTCGTTTTCTGTCGCGCAAAATACACTCCACAGAATTTTAGATAACTTGTTCAATTCCTTTTCTAAATTTAGGAATATAAAAGTCTATTTTTAGCAGATCTTCTGTTTTAGACACTGCGATGTGTTCCTTGTTGGGGATACTACGTATGATTTCTAGTTCCAATGCTTCGGGTACCACAAGTAACTCGCAACCACTGTTGAACGTGTATAATACACCATTTTTTACTAGGAAATCTTTCTTTAGTCCTTGCTCAACTAAGAATTTTAGCAACTGGAGATGTTGATCACTTCTTTGCGCAGCTGCAATTTTGGCTGTAACTTCTCCCTGAGAACAGGTAACCATCATGACAGCATTTCTGCTTAACAAATCTACATGCTTCATTTGCTGCCCAGATCTGTGAACAATTTCATAGTCAAATTCTTCTAGAAGTAACGCCCATCTCGCCACTTTAGAAGTTAAATCTTTCTTGAACATAGTCTTCTGCGATTATTTTTAACTCTTGTTTTCTGATATTATTTAATACACTTATGATTACAAAAGTAAATTAATGCAAAACAATAATTTACCTCGCTTGTTTGTTGGTCGGATCCTGGCCGAGCCCCCAGATTTTCTGTGGGTGGGGAGTTGAAGATGATATCCTTAAGAAAATAACACTTCCACAAGTCCACACCACAAAACATTTAATGAATAATGATCGAAAAGCTACAGATTGGAATTATATAACAGTACCGTTGCGCGTTCTCACGCTGGTTAGATACAAATCCAGTTTTGCATGACTTTAAGTATTTAGATCATTCCAGATAATGGACGTCTGGACATTGTACTGTACATAATTGATGGATTAAGAAGTATTGCTAAAAGGTATAGCAGGAGTTCTTTTAAAAATAGTAATATAGTGGATCACCAGTTTATACATCTTTCAAGGGACAATTCACAAATGACACATAAAAATAGAATTTTTTGTTTTTTCTGACATGGTTCACATAGTCTCAAATACTTTGATGATACATTCTACTGTTACGTTCTTGTATTTGCAATTCAATTCTTTAATGTACGGGTTCTTCCACCATGGACAACTGTAATATGAGCATCATGTATGATGTTGAAGACTTCATCACGTTTTTGCTGATGTGTCAAATACAACTCTTATTTTAGTGCTAGTACTTGATGGCTTAAAAACTGGGTGGTGAGGTAAGTAATAAATGACTGGAGGGACAGGTTCAGAATCAAGTATGACTTTCATGTGTTTCAAATACAAATATCCATAACGAAATTCCTTGTACAGTCTATGTAGTCCAGGTTTGTTAACCAACCTATTTTCTAAAAGTATTAAAAAAAACTCCTCAACGCTAATTTCCTTGGTTACCACAGCACACCAGACAAAAGAGCTGTTATTACAAATTGGTCTAATTATACCAAAGCTCTAAACCACACTCACTACGATGGTAACATAATACTGGATTTCTGCTTTTTCTGCTAATAGTGGTGCTGTAAGTTTGTCCTCTCCTCCAATATTTAGAATATCATAGCATTTCAAGTTTCTGTAATGAACTGTTTGTTTTTCCTTCGCACATTTTGCTTCTTTCACTTCATTTATTAAAGAACTGTACTTTTTATTTAATAAATAAAAATAATGCTTATTTTTTACAGATTCAGACAAAGTGCCGTAAAACTTTTTCTGCATAGCATCACTCATTTCCTTTCAGCAAAATAAAAAAATGCAACATATGTTAAAATGGAAACAAACTGCTTCTGCTTTAGATCGTTACATTTGTTTGAATTCACTCGAAGCCTGCAAATGATGCAAATGTGGAGGGACAGGAACAAAAAAGTGTCATGACAGAATTTATGTGCTCAGGCTTATTCAAACTCGATTTAAATTTCTTGTTTCGGCCTTTTAACCGGAAGGCGTTGCTAACTGCTAGGTTATACCCCAAAGGCTTGGTAAAAGGCCTAAATGAAATTATATTAAAGCATACTTCAGACTTTTACCAAGCCACTTTGGTAAGAGTTAGATTTTACCACACTTTGGGCTTTTACAGTAACATATGTATGTTACTTTATATTCGTTATAAGTTCTATAGGTGCTTTGAACTTCATATAAAGCTTCTTTGAAATATTTTTTAATATTGCTTAATGATATATACTTTTAAATGAAGTCATATCTTTCACATCTGTTATAATTTTAAACAAATTTTGATTTTAGATGTGTAAATATTCTTAATTTTACATGACAGAAATGTAATGTACTACAAATTTATAATTCTTAGCAGCTTATTTTTGATTATGCATTTAAACTAAATTTAGTTTTAAAATAAATTTTATTTAAAAAATTTTAATTGTTTATATATTCGATAACTAAACTCCCTTTCAACCATAGAATAAATTTTACTTATTTGCATTAAAATACTAATATTATTCTTATCTTGAGTTTATACTTTTTCTCATTTTAGATAATTTACATTATGAAGAAGGTTTGATCAATCATGCTCTTGCTGCTGGTATGCGTACTTTCTTAAAAGACTATTTTATTCTTGTGTCACAACTTGAAAATCAACATCTACAGAAAAATTTAACACTTCAGAAGCTATGGTTTTACATACAACCTTCAATGACAACTATGGAAACTATTGCTAATATTGCTTCTACTCTCACTAAGGTATGGGTCATTTCAGAAGTTTCTTAGGATATTATTCATGTAGATTTAATGCTTCAGTCTTTTCTTTTTATTATGTAATACTTTTTTTTTTTCCAATTCAGAATTCTCTATACACTGATTATTAAATTAAGTAACTCATTCATTTTACATTTCACTCATTTAAGCTATTTTCTCTTAAAAATTACTCTGTTCTATCAATATAGTCTCAAAAGGAATTTTTTTTTATGATTTATTTCAAAGTGTTTGCTGTCTGTGCGCTTTTAAGTTTATTAGTATAGTTACGTGTTTTATGAACAGTAAGGTTTGGATAATTACAAACACTTTTTGATATGTGCAAATTTAAGTTATTTGTAGGTATTTTTATGAATTTTATTTATTATTAATATTTTTAAGCAGTTTTTATGAAGACATTTTGCATAAATGTGAAATCTAACTACAGGTAGGAATGGCAACCCTAACAATATGTATAACTTCATGACTGTTTTATCAAATCTAAAATAAATAAAAAGAGAGGAGAAAAATGCAGAAATTTAAAGTGAAAATGCATATAATTATTCCATTTAACACTGGTACAGTGATTCCCTCGTAATTGCAGTTACTAGAATTCTGTCAATATGAGCTTTTGATAGCAAACATGAAATGAATTCCTATCAGGAAAGAAATACCTGATTCAGCATCAGATTACAAAGTGAAACATCCAGTTTGTAAATCTTTCTTTCTGTGATACAATCTTTTGTTGCAGCACAAGCTCATAGCTTTGGTAGTAGTAAAGTACAGCTTCTTTTGTTTTTCTGAATATATTTTGGTATGGATGATACCTTTATTCTGAAAGAATTTAATTGCAATTATTAGTCATTTGGCAATTGCCAAGTCATGTAAACCATCAAATGGAAGAGAAACATTAGGGCCTTTGTTTATGTAGATGTTGAAAAAAATTTCATCAATTATAAGGGCGATCAGGCACACGTGCTTCTTCAAGAGGGGGGGGGGTATCAAACCATAGTGATGATGATGATGATGATAGTAATGATAAAGAACTGAAAATATCAAAAAGAAAATTACTGGGAAATTAATAGTTTCTTCTTCGCATTAATTCATAATGATGTCACACATCAACTTATGAAGTGAAGGTAAACAATTTTCCACTTTTGGCATACATTTGTGACTTGCATCGTCTTAATCGAAAAGTCCCAAAAAATCTTTGGCCTAAAAAATGCCAACCCTACCCAGTTATTCTTCATTTTGTGTAATAAAACTTATCAAAATTACTATCAAATGAAAAAGTAAAATGCCTGTTTTCCTTTCACCGCTGGGAGAACAAGGCCTCTCTCTTCTGCTTTGAGTGACGTCACTGGCAAGGGAATTAGTAGGCTTAACTAACGTACCTTGATACCATAAACTGGTAGTTACAATGTAATATTTTATATATTGTATTCATATATAGAGATAATTGACAGTGTTTTATACTTTATAAATTTTTAATTCAGAAGGTACTATAATCGATACACCAATTCGTGTATTTAAAAAAATTATGTATCTCTCAATAATCCCAAAATTAGGCTTTATTTCATGTTTGATATTATTAGACTTTTATAATATTTTGAATTCTATAAAATCTGAAATTAATTATTTGCTAACAAATAACACTGCAGTTAGTGTTCTTTGTGAAAGTATCTAGTTAAATCTGTAATGAAATATGTTGACATATTAATTAAAGTATAACATTTTAGTTAATAATATGTGAGAAGGAACTAAATTTTTCCCGAATACTCACAAGCTTTTTAAAATATCAGGATAATAGGTACATATCCTGGAATACAGTTAGTTATATACCATTTTTCAGATCCATTAATTTAATCTTAAATGTAAACTTAAAGCTTATACAGAACCTGAATTTTGATTTTACATAATCAATTTGTAAGATTTCTTTGCAATTCTATAGTGATAGTCAAGGCTGAATTTATTTTCCTTAACTTGGGAAGAATATTACCTTGAACCTGACATTTAGTGATCAAGCATTTTAGTAAGAAAATAACTTCTATTTAAAAAAAAAAAAAAAAGGGGTCAACCGAGGCTTTGAATGCAGATTTACCTTCACAACTGCCTGAATGCCCAAAATATTTATCAAGTAAATTTTCAGCTTCTAGAGAAAGTGCTGAGAGCAGAGGCAGAATTAATGGAAACAATTTACAGTTTGTAAGTCTTACCAGCAAAACAGTTCATGATCTAAAAAAAAAAAAAAAGTTTTTACACATTTTCACTTTTTAGGGCACATAAAACAAGAAACTTCCTAATATTTGGGCAATTATTTTCAAAGAAGTCCCCATTTTTACTTCCTTGTACGAAGTAATAAGGAAGTATTATAATCGCAAAAAGTTTCAGGCAGCATATTTTAACGAAAATATACATTTTGACAGCTTACAAATGCAATTTAACGATGTTTTTTTGCATGATGTCTGTACATAAGGACAGAATAAAAGACACTTTTCCTCCAAAAAAATTATAAAACTGCTTTAAAATGAATTCTGAAGAGAATTTTTCGTGGCGTCGGTACGAACGTATGTACTTACGTATCTCGCATACCTCAAAAACTAGTATCCTTAGAATGTTGAAATTTTGTATGTGTAATGTATGTGGCATCCATTGCATACATGTGTATTTGTATGTATGCGTGCATGCATGTATGAATGTATGTATGCTTTATTTTATGTAATCCATGAATACATATTTCAAATTCCTTTTTCATTTCTGGCGCTTCCGAGTGACTGTTTTTAATTCGGTAGCACTCGTAAGGCGACTTCGTTACTTTCTGCAGCCCTTTAATAAGTTTCGCTCGTTTTCATTTTGGAAACCAATCTTTAGACCAGGTAGTGGGCTCTTTTGTTCTTCATTTTCATCACGAATGCTTAGCTTTTGGTCTTTACGGGACCCCTCATTCTCTTCATTACTTTTTTTCAATAGAATAGTTTTTATTTTGTGCTTAGGGGCTAGTCCCTTAAATACTGTTTAATCTAAAATACTGTTTTCTAACTTTTTAAGTTCACTTCTGTGTCTTCTGACGCAGGCCATGTTGGGAAAAGGACAGATCATTGGACATCGTTAATAGTAAATAAAAAAATTAATTCCAAATTTTACTTACATTTAATCTAGAAAGCCAATTGCAGTCTCAATGGCCTGTCC